AAAAAGAGAGCAGACTATATCTGGGGTAGGGGCAAGCTCTTAAGACTCTACAAATACAAAACATAAGATAAAATATTGATCAGTTTGAAAATATTCTTGTTCAATGAAGGACCTACAAAGTTAATAGATGACAGTCTGGGAGAAATAGCAATGCTTAAATCTGACAAGGAACTAATGTCAAGAATAAATTAACATCTCCTCAAATCGAAGAGGATTAAAGAAAAGAAAAGCAAATGTAAAAATGGATAAAAGATAACCAGGGTATTCCAAGGAGTCAAAATGGTTAACAAAATTCTGATGAGATGCTCAAACTTCCTACAAATCAAATAAAGTCTAGCCAAAATAATTAGATATCACTCAACTATACATCAGACTGGCAAAAAATTAAAAAGATGATGTTTTAGAATGAATTGTGTCCTCCCCCACCAGTGTGACTGTATTTTGATATANAAAGATGATGTTTTAGAATGAATTGTGTCCTCCCCCACCAGTGTGACTGTATTTTGATATAGGGTCTTTAAGGAGGTGATTAAGGTTAAGTGAGATCATAAGGGTGGGGCTCTAATCTGATAAGACTGGTGGCCTTATAAGATGAGGAATATACACTGGAGATCTGTTTCTGCCTGAGGATACATTAAGAAGGTAGTTGTCTGTAAGCCAGCAAGAGAGGCCTCACCAGAAACCAATCCTGCTGGCACCTTGATCTCGGACTTTCAGCCTCCAAAACTGTAAAAAATAAATGTCTGTTGTTTAAACCCTCCAGTCTGTGATATTTTGTTATGGCAGCCCTAGCAGATGAAAACAGATGGATACTCTACAGTGTTGGGGAACATAGGAAGACAGGTGTGCTCATTTACTACTGGAGCAAGTGTAGACCAGCTTAGCCATTCTAGGGAGGATTCTGGCAGTTTTAGTCAAATTGAGTTTACAACTGCTTCAGCAGCCATCTGCTGGGGCCCAGCCATCCTTCTTCTGGGCATATCCCACAGAAATTCTCCCATAGTTTCTAACAGGGACACATGCAGGGATGTTCACCTCAATGTAGTTGATAATAGTGGGGAGTTAGAGATAACTTAAGTGTCCATCCCTGGGGGGATGGCCAAGTAAACTGAGGTGGATGAATCTCATGGACCTCTGCACCAGCCAAAGCAACACAGATGTCAGCAGCATAATGTTGAGCGAAAACAGTAAAAAAAGGGATGAGATATATATGGCAATGCAATTTGTGTAAATCCAAACACTGCGTGTACAAGGATACAGGCATATTAAATACATCTATGAAACACAAGGCAGTAGGAGAATGGGAGTGTGAATAAGGGATAAAGGGGGAAAATAAAATAAAACAGAAGAGGGATCTTGTAGTGATTCATGACAATGATGATGTGCTATGAATTGGCATATGATTAGCTCAGCCTCAATTTCCTGTACTCAAGATCTAAGAAAAAGAGAAAGA